AGGCCAGTAACAAAATTCGTAAATACTGGCAATGTGAAGGACAATAAGAAGGGATATCACAGTCGCTTCAGATGTGGATGTTCAAGAACACCGTACTCTTCTGAACTTAATACCTGTGATTACTTTTTATGGGGACTTCTAAAGGTTAATGTCTACAGGAATAACTCACATACGGTCGAAGAATTGGAGGCGGAAATCAGAACTGTCGTGGAAAGCATTAATCAGCAAACACTATTCACGGTTATCGAAAACATCGGTGAACGCCTGCAGAGGATCATGGATGCTGGAGGCTCCCACATTCAAAATGTGTTTTCATAATTAAAAACTCCCAAACATCCTGTGTTTTGTAAGCTATAATTCCAGATTCTATGTGCATTATTTTAGAAAATACTTGTGATGAAAACTAGCGCGTCTTTTTCTGATGACCCTGTAGATAGCCCCCTCCAAAGCCTTAGCTACAAGAGCTAGGGAAAAAACTCATAACATGAGAAAGAGTATTCATTTTCGAATCTAAACATGTACTTCTAGTAATTTGTGTGAACCTTGGCTGTGTGTCTGACAGCTTCAAGACGAGCGGGGTAAGATTAAAAGAGACGCTTAAAGAGTTCGGTTTCATCTTCCATGTCCTTCAGCATTCTGGTAATTTTGCTTTGCAAGGCTTCTCGGGAGAATCCATGCTGTTTGTCCTCCATGTGCAAGAGAGCCTCAATTAGATCTTCCAGGATTACCCCAATGTTCACAGTCACATTCAGATTAGGAGAGTCTCCCGGCAATTCCGCATTTCCAAAGAAATCAATCCCTGAGTCTTTCGGCATTTGCTGTGAGGTCAAAGCTTTAAAAAAAAAAAAAAAACAACAGGGCTTTATCAGGCAGAAGCTAAATGTTTAATATTTTTCGAAACCCATGAGAAGGTAACGAATTCAGCTTTGGAATCACAAGCCTCTCAAAACGTAATAGCACGGATGCAATCAATGAATATAAGTTTTTCAACATCATACGACATCAGAAACAACAAAATGGAATTCAATAGAACCATAATTGAACAAGGATTCCAAATATATATTTAAAAATTGTCTACCTCCTATAGTTTAGGCTATGTGGGGGGGGGGGCTACCTATGTGGAACCAAAAGTGTTATATTTAAATATTTTAAGTACGTTCGAGAGGAGCACTCACGTTTACCAAGTGCTTCTGACGTCAAGGGTCGATGGAGCGACCCTTATTGAGGATCAAACTGAAAAGTACTTCCCCCCAAACTAACATCAAACCAAAAACACTAAATCACCAAAATCACCAAAAAATCACCAAAAACGGACAGTTTGAAACGTGCTGTAAAAGAAAGAGTGAAATATAAGCATGCCTTCACAAATCTTTTTTCTCTTGTCCTCTAAAATAATTCATTTTTAAGATAACCTCTTATTTTAAACTGAATGTAAACACATTTTGCTCATTATCACATTATCGATTTCGTTTTACGACGTTCCAGGAGGTTTGGCACCCTAATTCCTGAAGTACAGCGACCGTCACAGAATCAGACTCAGGCGCGAAATTTAAAATTTCAAGTACTTTCGAAGGAGACAAAACAGTGAGCCTGCCTCTCCAACGAAGGAGGGATAAAACCGGTGAAGTATGCATGCAGATACGTATGACTATGAAAGCAACGAGACAGAAGACAGAGAGGAGAAAGAGAGAAATCCAGTGAGTGGAATATCAATGTAAAGAGAGTAGATGACCTTCTCCTTCCCCGAGGGCCGGTTTGGTTTTCTTTTTTTTTTTATTCTCTGTCTTCCTGTCTTTCGTTTTCCTTTCAGGCCATCTGTCGGATACAGGGACATCTTCGCTTCTCCAAGAGACTTAGTCCAGGATAATTTCTGCACTTATTTGCTACGACCTCTCTCAGTATTTTTCACGATTGAAATGAAACTGGCCGCGCAAAAAAACGACAATATTTCGAGCTATCCGCTCTTCTCTCCGATTCACGAACTTCAGGCAACTCCCTTTTACCTGTCATTCAACGCAATCAAGAGGGAAGAAAGTAAGCCAGTCAAGACATTTAGTAACCTAGCGGAACTTACATTTTGCAGTCACTCACGTTCCCTCTCAATCAGGTAAAAAAAAAAATCCTCTTTTTCCGCATATTTCATTGGGTCGTATTGTATACATATCTTTGGGCTGTATTTTAAGCTATGTTAGAGAATGTATCTTTAGATCTTCATTTCAGGCCTATATTCATATTTCCCCTTGACTGATTTCGATGAAAGGCTTTTGTACTATTGCGGAAAGGAAAGAAGCAAAAAAACTGGGTCAAGTAACGCGTGGAACACTAAAGAATAAAAAAAGAAAAAGAAGTGACCATGCGTAATGGACTCATCCAGTCCGAGGATATAGAGAGGATTCACGTCCCCAAATATTGGACAGGGTTTAAATTTCGCGTCTCGATCCTAAATTCTCAGATTGGAGTCCCATTTTGACAGAAAATTTTACCCTCACACTGAATTTCTAACTCTGCATGCGGAATTTCCGACATTAGTCTCAAGTTTGGGAGGCATTTTGGGGGGGAGGAGGACGACGGGTGCCCACGTGCAGCTTCCTCAAGCTAATTCGCAGGAGATCATGCCTCGAGGCAAGGAAAGGACCAGGAAAAAAAAAAAAAGCTCGCCGTTATATTCCACGGAAGGGAAGGGAAGAGAGGGGAATGTGAGCGTGTGTGTCTAAGGGACGAAGGAGACGAGTAAACAATGAAAGAGACAGACATGATTCAACCAAATTCCCCTCCAGGCCTCCTGTGATCCTGTTATCCATTCAAAGCCTTTTTTCATATCCCTGCCACCTTCAATGCATTCCATGGCCAATTTTCCAAGCGCTCGTCAATTTTATATCACAACTTACGAACAAAACATAAGTCTACGTATAGTTGTTTAATTTTTCTGCTTTAGGGCTTTTCCTGTTCTTCAGGAAATCAATGATTTTTGGGTTCACCGGAGGAAAAGTATGTTCGCTCCTTTCCAAATTAACCTCGTCTACAAAAATCCTACGGTATGCTGTTGTTCAAACTCTGGCATGACGGGCTAAGTTATTATGAAAGTTTTTTTTGGCCCGAATGAGATCCACATTTCTTTAAAATTTTAAATATAATTTTTGTATTGAAAAACACATTAAATATTATATTGAGGCATATGCTTAAGAGACACCAAGGAACGGCAGCGCACGTTAAACCAATAATCCAAGTTGGGATCCGAATTTGGAGCGATAATACAATACAATATTCCTTATATATCAATAATAATAATACTAATGAGCACAATCTAAACCAAGGAAATGGAATGAAAGAGGGTCCAAAATCCCATATGAGAAACCAAAACAACGGGAGGTCATGTGACAAAAAGCATTATGCAAGACCACAAGGGAAATAAGGCCTGAGATAGGGGGTCATTCTTTTTTCTTCCCCCCCCCCCCCCCCTCCCCTCCACCTGCCTTCCAGTCATACCGATGTCGCAGGTGAAAGGGGATTTTCACTTGGAATCCCCTTCCGGATTCCAATATCGCTTTTTTCGTTATGAAAAAAAGCCTATTAAAGGCAGGGATGGGGATGAAAATTTTCGTGAAATGGAATCATTGTCAGGATCTCAGTATGACTTGGAAGGTGTTCCACGAGAAATCTTCCTCACTCCGACTTTCTCCCTTCTACATTTTTGCCATTCCGTCAAACCCTAAGGATTTGTGACGGAGGGATTGTAAAATCGATTAATCAAAGTCAGGAATGCGCGAGCAGGGAATGAGGCACGTTCGTGATACGGAATCAAAACAGAGTTCAGACCAGAAGGCTTCCAACGCAATAAAAAAAATACCTGAGGTTATTGAGATTCCGAGAGGGTCTCACTGAAACAGCGGGTCTTTTGTTTGGAAAAATAAAGAAATGAATTTCCATTTCAGGCGCGTGAGATGAGACGATGACCTCTCCGTTTTCTTTCAACCAAGAGAATGATGCCTGGATTGAATTCTGAAGTTCCTTCAGCGGGAACCCACGCGGAAAAGAAACCAAATCATGGCACAAAGAAACTCACCGAAAGATTAAGACAGTTGGCTCGTGTGAGGTCACAGAGTGATCACAAACGGTTTATTTCATTCGTTGCACTCATGTTGGCGTCACTTTCGAGGCAAGTTTTGCTCGTGGCTTCTTCCTGGCGATATTATTAAAGCTAAAAATCTAAGGTTTAACGATATTCGTAAAAGCACGAATATCGTTGGGCATCGTGATTCAGGACTGCTTCTGATTCCCAACACGCATTTCCTAAAAGCTGTTATTTTCGATTTGCCAAGCATTTCATAGTCAACATTGAAATTTCTTATTGAATCTCCATGGGCAACATTATAGTATTTCATAGACCTAAAACTATCTCCTCCAAGAAGTAGCATAAAGACGTCAGTCTTCACAGTTGGTAGTTTCATTCATGACTATCAATTAATATTTTTCTCATTAAGGAATGCGGTAATATGAAAACCGACGAACAGGTGCGAGCCCTACATAATGAACGTGGGAAAAGTAAAAAAAACAAAAAAAACGACTGGAATCTGACCAGTAGGCCAGTGAGGACAAACGGGATACGAAAATTTTTCACAGATCCATCGACCGTGAAAACAAATCCCTCTTCTTTCCGATACCTCCAATCCAACCGAGATACACTTTATTGGGGGAAGGCGATGTCGAAGAGAAAAACATCGATTTGGCACCACGTGTGGGTTGTGCGTCGCCTGGGACATGAAGGGAAAGAAGGTTAGAGGATAGGCTAGCCAAGAAGGAAAGCATAGAAACAGAGTCCCGAGGTGCTTTCGTTTCTGCCAGCTCATCATTATAGAAGGCCTACCTCAGCTTTTTCTTCTCCCCCGAGTGAACAGTTATCATGCAGCGTATTTAGGGTCCACAGACTCAATCACACATCACCAACACTAGAATTATGACTAAGAGGACAAGGAGTAAGAAAGGACACACAAGAGGCTTACCTTCGTCCAGGAGTCGCTCTACGTGCAGGAAGACGTTAGGGAGGGCAGCCAGTTGCTTTTTGTCTTTTAGTAACTGTGCAAGATAGTCGGCTATGCTGTGAGGATTGTTGTTAGTATTGTTTTCACCCATTGTGTCAAGCCGAGTCCCCGAGTCACACTACCTAGGTTAGAGTGTTAGTGTTCCCTTCTTACGAGAGAATAAGGGGGGGGAAGAAGGCGCACTCACTCGCACACACACGGAGCACGACCCACACCCCCTGCATCCCCACCCGTGAATATCCACTGCTCATGCGCATGGCCTGGCCGAGTCCATCCTGTAGGGGGTGAGACGCCTTCTGCACTCCTTCCAAGACTCCCCATGAGCGATGCCTCGGCGGGTTTCGGAATGCGACCTGCGGGAAACTGCGTTTCAATGCGGTCCGTATGAGATACGCTTAGATGCCGTGGGACCGCACTGTTCCGACTCCCGCCCTTCCTCCTCCTCGACGCAGAGAAATAGCAGGAGCATTTCTGAAAGGAGCAGGGCGTTGCCCCATACCGGACATGGGCAGAAAGCAGGTGCTTCCTCTCTGCCGCCTTCCATCCACGCTTCGTTTACGGAAAAAGGAAACCTCTCTGACTCAGTCCGAGAATGCCAAGTACGGATCGGGTAGCCTCCGTTAAGCCTCATGTCATTCGCTCCAACTTGAGAAATGCAAATACACAACAGTGTAGATCCTTGTGCTCGAACGCGTCCATGCAGCACGGGGAGCGGTTGACGTCGACGACGTCATGTCCCGTCAAGATTACGTAATCGAATTCCGCTCATCTGCTTCGGAGTGTTTGCACGCCAAGATTCAGATCTTGAGCACATTTCGGATGCAGAGGGCGCAATTTATGGCGGGATTTTTGTTCCAATGTTTTCCTGCGAGGGATGAGGAGGCGGGGAAGTGCAAGTAGGATCTCGTCGTCATCTAGGTGAGTAGGACGAAGAAGGGCGAGGAGCCCCGATATTATGAAAAGGGCGGAGGTACTTCTCCTTCAACAGGCGTGGGATGAGACTCCCTTCCCACAGCTCCTCTGCAGTGACGCAATATTTTCCTTCCCTTTTTTTTTTTCTTGGTGTCTTTTCCTTCTTCTGACTCACGCCACATGCACCCACTCCCCCACCCGCGCGGAAATTTCGAGAAAAAAAATAGTTGGCGATAAACTCAGGTTGCGAAGTCAATAGATTTTTTTAAACAGAAGCAGAAATGTAAGAGAGATGTGGGTTTGAAAAGGTGAGACTGGAGGGCAGGCATGATAATCTCACATTCCTCCCCCTCCAACAGGTTTTTCGTTTTTCCAGCTCCACCCTGTTGGGTGAAACGCAGTCCCCCACGCAGAAAAGGAATGCAGTGATGTTCGGTTCGGATCGAACATCCCTGGTCATCGCTCCTTTCCCTGTGGGGGATTCGTGGGACTCCACCTTCCAATGATGAGACTTCATTTCCGTCGAACATTTTACCGTCTGTTATTCAGTGATTTCATTATCGCCTGATAGACTGAGTTTTTTCCTACGTCTTCCGTCTTCACGACCGCTATCTAATTCTGGAAACAAAAACTTCATCAGAAGTGGAACTAGCCGAGGAATGTCAGCAGTCTTATCCTCGCCTCCTTTTTTTTGCCGAGAGGCAAACATTAAATCGAGTTCTTCGCATGAAACTCTTCCATGAACAAGGATTAGTCTGAGTTATTTTTAGAATGTATGCGAGTTTAAATGAGTGCCGAACAGAGGCCCTCACTGCTTTCTAGCAGCCATAGGGTAGTCTCCACTTAATATCATTCCATATTCAATTCTGCTGCTACATGAATTCAATTATCGCCGATTGGTGGACAACGAAAGTAAAATTAACTTAGAATCACCACTAGGCTGGTTAGTCAATTATAAGCGCTAATAGCAATGCTAGAGGTCTGTTAACGAACCAGCAAGAATTGAGGGAGAGAGAGAGATGGCACAAGAGTCCCATTTCGCTCGTCCATTGGTTAAAATTTTGGTCTAGTAACCGGGTTGTGCCTAATTTATGCCATCATCTTCTAACGCTGGTGTCCTAAGGACTGACAGCCCTTAGGAATCGACTACTCCATCTCTTCAGCGTCCGCAATGCATCTGCTCCTGGTGGAATCATCGTTATAAAAAATCATGTGACTCGGGTCTCTCCTATTCATGTTACATCACGCAAGAACCCGTTCCATCATGGATGCCCACCCTTGACATAATCGAGTATCCAGGATTTCTCCGCTATGTTCTCTCCCTGGCTATGGTAGTTAATGCTCTGCAAAGGCAAGAAAACGTACGAAAACGGAGAAGACATCGATCTGAGAGGATCAACACCTAGGTCGCGTTTAATTAACCCCTTCCAGGGGTTCCGCAAAAGGATGACGTCACAGTTCTACTGGTAAAAAAATACAGTTCGTATTAAGCCTTTGCAACAATTCTCACAAGGTTTTCTTAGTTTAGGAGGACGTGAAAATATTCTCCATAAATGTAATGGGTAAGTGCTACATATGTTCTGCCCGAGGCTGAGAACCTGCCATTGTCATGCGCCGAAGTAGCCACGATACCTCAGAATTCAGTGCTCCCTAAACGGATAAGCAGAACGGAGTGAAGCGATGATGTCAACCATGACGTCACACAACTGAGCGAAAGCCTCTTTTTCGGTAGTCGGCCGCGGCTGAGCAAAAAGACCCTCCCCAAGAGTAGTCGTTTGAACTTCCTCCAAGACTGTAGTCACGCAGTACAAACCTTCCACATGGTCCACATCGTAGCCGTCGGCATCCAACAACGAAGAATGGCGCCAGAGTTAACTTAGGGATGGTTGGGTTATGATGCATTATTACTATGATGCACGATTTAGCCATATAACATTTGGCACACGTTAGTGCTAGTGCAGAATGGTCTTCAGTGCCCTATACATTTTTTTTTTCATCCTCAAGACTCGTGCCCACGTTAATGTATGCAATTAAAAATCAGTATACTCTCCCTTTCGCCAAGTTCTGGAAGTCCATGAAGATCAAATAGGCCATATTGAAAAGAAGGGGTGGCCGAATAGCCGAAGGTGTGGCGTTGTAACAACACGATCTCTTCCTAAACCGCAGGTCTCTATCTGCGAAATCCTTTACCTTGGCTGTTAATCATGCTCTACCCACCTAATAGTTAAACATAATCCGACTATCATACTTTGTTATAAATTAAAAATGTATTACCAAAGGCCATTGGTCAAAGACTGCCCTTGCATCAGCCGTAAATCAGTGGGTAAAAGTTACTCCGGAAGCTTGGTTTCCTGCCGGAATTAGGAGACTGGTGGGAAGAAAGAAGTGCGTATTGGTTAAGGTTTATAATGTTGGAAAGGTGTAAGTAGAGTAACACTCTAAGGTTCAGTTGCACGTGTGATATTTGTAAGTTCCAGAACTTTACCGTCTCCCCTCGTAATTCAAGGATTATCGGGTTTCGTATCTAATGAGTCTACCAACCGACGCGTATTCATATCATACCGTATCCATGATGCAATATATTATGAGATGAGACTGACAAAAATGAAAAAGTAGACTGAGAATAAATAAAATAAAACTCCTTTATCTTCTTGTTCTGTCCTCCTTGACAGATCGATTCGCACACGGAATCGTCTTGCAATTCTTAGGAATATATTGCTTGCCACCTTCGACTGATCTGTGGCCTGTGAGTCAATCCTCTCCGAGAATCACACCATATCAAATCAGCACGAAAGAGGGAAATTAACCTGACACAATTCCTCCCCTAGATTTTGAAAAAATCTGGAGGTGCATTCAGGAACTAATCAAAACCAGATGACAAAAAGATAAGAGGATAAAATAAAGCCATACTTCTTTTTAATTACCGCTCTTTTCTTTGTCTTTGGGCTTGGAATGCACGGTCAACTTAGATATATTTCTTTTAGTCTGCAAGCACAAAATTTCATGAAAATCAGAAGTGGCAGGTATATCACTGGGCTGATATACAGAGAGACCCCTCTCCAACGAAATGAATGGAGGGGGTTGACTCGGATGCCTCCAACCTTCCTCTACCAAACTGTGCCAAAGAGTTACGTGCATTAACCCTATATTGCATAATGATGCCAATAGGCATCAAAGAAAATTTGATAACATGAATAGAACAATTATTTTGAGTGGGCATTTTGCCCAACGATGCCAAATGACATCAAACATGTTTCTCACAGACTATGGGTTCCCCCCCCAAAAAAAAATTAATTGAGAAATATTTTCGGAAATTTTCAGAATAAATGGTAATTGACACTAGACATTTTTCTATCACATTTTCATAATTCATGAGAGGGCTAAAAGGCATGGCGGCAGTTACCCGTCGAGAAACTCGGCATTGTTTCCCTCGAGTGGAATGCTCTGTCCTCCTCTCGTGAAGGACCTCGCATGGTCGATCAAAGGCTTGGCCAATCGAATATAGCAGGTTTTATAAAATACGTGTTGGGGATCAGAAGCAGTCCTGAATCTCGATGCTCAGTTATATTCATGCTCTTACGAATTTAAACTTTAAATAATATTGGCAGGAAGCAGTCGCCAGCAAAACTTACCTCGAAGGTGACGCTAACATGAGTGCAACGAATGAAATAAACCTTAAGTGATCACTTTGTGATCTCACACGAGTCAACTGTCTTGCACCTTCGATGAGTTTCTTTGTGCCATGATTTGGTTTCTTTTCCACGTAGGTTCCCGCTGAAGGAACTTCAGAATCCAATCCAGGCATCATCATTTTATTTGTTGAATAAAAACGGAGAGGTTATCGTTTCATTTCTTGTTCATAGTCCAAACATTCGATTCAGAAACAGACTTTAGACGGAGATGGAGTCGGATTATCTTCATAACTTTGATTACCTCTTGAGTATGCATGAAGAACTGAAACCGAGGTCTTGAGGAGACTCATTGCGTTCTTCTACTGCTCTTCAGGTCGATTTCTCGATAAGCAGATCGTGACTATTAAATCGCGAAAATATCCTAAAAGAATAAGTTGAGAAGATCCATTACAAGTGATAACCAGGAGGGGACTCGCATGAGCGGTTGAGTTTCGACTTCCCTACAATCCCTTTCAAATCTTGGATGAAATTTTCGGTGAGGTTTACACATGGGCACGAGGTCCGAATTGAAAAGGCGCGACGTTGACACGTCTACTGGTAATAAGGAGCGTTGAACTAATTTCGTGCAGAACGTGGAAGGAATCTGATACGTGGTATAACCCGATACAGACCGCAAGTAAGACGGGTGCTTATTTCAACTCCCACTGGAAGCTTAGTTAGCAGACTGGGGACATTAAAGTTCTTACGCTTCTTTACCCGAAAATCAGAATT